CCTGGTCCATCCGTGCCCTCCGGCGCAGGCGCCGGTGTTTCTTCCTCTGATGCTGATGTTGATGCAGAGGATGAAGAAGAGCCACTAGACGTCCCCGGACCTGGTGCCCCCGTGCCCTCTAGAGTAGGCACTTCGGCGCTCCTTCCTCCGACGCTGATGCAGAGGATGAAGAAGAGTCACTAGCCGTCCCTGCACCTGGTGCTCCCGTTCCCTCTGGCGTAGGCGCCGGTGTTTCTTCCTCTGATGCTGATGTTGATGCAGAGGATGAAGAAGAGTCACTAGCCGTCCCTGCACCTGGTCCATCCGTGCCCTCCGGCGCAGGCGCCGGTGTTTCTTCCTCTGATGCTGATGTTGATGCAGAGGATGAAGAAGAGCCACTAGACGTCCCCGGACCTGGTGCCCCCGTGCCCTCTAGAGTAGGCACCGGCGCTCCTTCCTCTGATGCTGATACAGAGGATGAAGAAGAGTCACTAGCAGTCCCTGCACCTGGTGCTCCCGTTCCCTCTGGCGTAGGCGCCGGTGTTTCTTCCTCTGATGCTGATGTTGATGCAGAGGATGAAGAAGAGTCACTAGACGTCCCTGGACCTGGCCCCCCCGTGCCCTCTAGAGTAGGCGCCGGTGTTTCTTCCTCTGATGCTGATACAGAGGACGAAGAAGAGTCACTAACCGTCCCTGCACCTGCCTCCCCCGCGCCCTCTGGCGTAGGTGCCGGTGTTTCTTCCTCTGATGCTGATGTTGATGCAGAGGATGAAGAAGAGTCACTAGCCATCCCTGGAGCTGGTCCATCCGTATCCTCGGCCACTGGGGACGCTTCCGGTGTAGGCTCGTCCTGCAAGGTACAACCATCCAGGCTTGGGGTCAGGAGATCGGTCCAGGCATAACGGAGCACACACATGTGGCCAAATTGGAGCCGATGGTCAGCTACCAAGCACCGGTGACAGCATTATTGAGCTCTACAACAAATCGGCGAGAACAGTTCTAGCGAAAAACCCACACGAAGACAACGATGACATCAACTTCCATGACCAGAGCGCAAAAATCCTAGCCCCGACTCGCTGAAAGCCTTCTCACCATTGACGATGGTGTTGGCGGTGTTGACGAATCTTGAGCAGCATGCAGCCGAACGCCAAGCGAAGGAGGATGTTAGATGGGTAGCTTGGCATGGGGTTGAGTGGCACATTTGTCAAGAGCTCTTCGGCGCGTTAGGAGATACCATCGTACATCGCATGCCGCCAGCGGCGGTCGGTCCGATATCCCGACAAGGGAGGTTCGAGTCGAAATTCGATGAGGCGAGAGGATCGGGTAGCATTCGATACAAAACAACGATTGCAGCAGACCGGACCCATGGAAATCGAGCTCACTAGATACCGTTTACACTAGACGTCCCTGCACCTGGTGCCCCCGTGCCCTCTAGAGTAGGCACCGGCGCTCCTTCCTCTGATGCTGATACAGAGGATGAAGAAGAGTCACTAGACGTCCCTGCACCTGGTGCTCCCGTTCCCTCTGGCGTAGGCGCCGGTGTTTCTTCCTCTGATGCTGATGTTGATGCAGAGGATGAAGAAGAGTCACTAGCCGTCCCTGCACCTGGTGCTCCCGTTCCCTCTGGCGTAGGCGCCGGTGTTTCTTCCTCTGATGCTGATGTTGATGCAGAGGATGAAGAAGAGTCACTAGCCGTCCCTGCACCTGGTCCATCCGTGCCCTCCGGCGCAGGCGCCGGTGTTTCTTCCTCTGATGCTGATGTTGATGCAGAGGATGAAGAAGAGCCACTAGACGTCCCCGGACCTGGTGCCCCCGTGCCCTCTAGAGTAGGCACCGGCGCTCCTTCCTCCAACGCTATTGAAGAGGATGAAGAAGAGTCACTAGCCGTCCCTGCACCTGGTGCTCCCGTTCCCTCTGGCGTAGGCGCCGGTGTTTCTTCCTCTGATGCTGATGTTGATGCAGAGGATGAAGAAGAGTTACTAGACGTCCCTGAACCTGGCCCCCCCGTGCCCTCTAGAGTAGGCGCCGGTGTTTCTTCCTCTGATGCTGATACAGAGGATGAAGAATAGTCACTAACCGTCCCTGCACCTGCCCCCCCCGCGCCCTCTGGCGTAGGTGCCGGTGTTTCTTCCTCTGATGCTGATGTTGATGCAGAGGATGAAGAAGAGTCACTAGCCGTCCCTGCACCTGGTCCATCCGTGCCCTCCGGCGCAGGCGCCGGTGTTTCTTCCTCTGATGCTGATGTTGATGCAGAGGATGAAGAAGAGTCACTAGCCGTCCCTGCACCTGGTCCATCTGTGCCCTCCGGCGCAGGCGCCGGTGTTTCTTCCTCTGATGCTGATGTTGATGCAGAGGATGAAGAAGAGTCACTAGCCGTCCCGGCACCTGGTGCTCCCGTTCCCTCTGGCGTAGGCGCCGGTGTTTCTTCCTCTGATGCTGATGTTGATGCAGAGGATGAAGAAGAGTCACTAACCGTCCCTGCACCTGCCCCCCCCGCGCCCTCTGGCGTAGGTGCCGGTGTTTCTTCCTCTGATGCTGATGTTGATGCAGAGGATGAAGAAGAGTCACTAGCCGTCCCTGCACCTGGTCCATCCGTGCCCTCCGGCGCAGGCGCCGGTGTTTCTTCCTCTGATGCTGATGTTGA